CAAACATGACACGGCAAATAACAAACACGAACAAACACCCAACCCAAAAGCAGCAAATGCTAAGAGACCACCAAATTCAACACACGCACGGGTGTGAAGACAATTTCGTGTGCTTCCAACTCCTTGGCAGAAGCACCCGATGGATCACTTTGCTGTGCTCGCAGAATGGCCTGCATTCACATGCCCAAGGAACACTATCAAACATGACGTATAATTGAAAATGGACCACGTTGTGAACTACATGTCCGCACCTCCGTCGCCGACGGCTTCAAGCCCCAACGACCGCCCCAATGTGGCTCGATCCCCACACGTTCCTCGAAAAGGCTCACCGCATCGGCAGCGCTCAGACCTACCCACGTCCGCAGTTCTGATAAGACCATCGCGAGTTCAGAACGGGATCAAATTGCAAGTGACGAGGTCTCACGGACAGGCCCTACAAAAACCTCGAGAACAATTTCTTGAGCCCCGGGGGGCAGCGATGTTTTCAAGGTCGAAACTCAAAAAATGCCAAGAATTCGATCGGCCCGACTGTTCTTTCAATCGAAATGATGACATTTTGACACTAACAGCACACAGTTGCTTCAAATTCTGACGGTCCTTCACATGAAAAAACCATGATCCCAGTGCCACCTCAGCATTTCGCGTCGATCTCAGAAAACAAACACATGTTCCAGACGGCACGGAAAAGCGTACTTCAAGGAGGCGAAATTTCAGCGTCACGAAACCTTCAAGGTCCCGACTTAAAAATGGCGGCAGATCAGGATCGGCCCGCACAGGATCGAACCACGTTCAGAAATCTCGAAAAATCTCGAGAAATGCCAGAACCGTTGGGGTGTCTTGTCAAGCATGCCTACACTATTTGCTCATGCTGCATGGTATTTTGTTTCCCCATGCGTGACTCTTGTCTTGTCCATTTGCTCACATCAAAGACCAGGAAGGATCAATTCACATCTATGGAGCAAAGAGGTCAACAAGGTCTGCACGTGAAACAGTGAATTCCCATGGAGCAACACAAAGCATACTCGCTGAAGCTCGAAACTGGGATCGCGACTCCGGAGCTTGCGATAAGAAAGCACCATCCTCTGGCGAATGACCTACAAGCTCAAGACTCAACTGCTGCTTCACGAACAACGTCTATCAAAGAATGGCGAACATCCAAACAATACACATGCTATATATAAATACATCAAGTCTTGTCCATTTCCTGCCATCTGAGCCCAGGAATGTTTGATTCACATCTATGGAGCAAAGAGGTCAACAAGGTCTGCACGTGAAACAATGAATTCCCATGGAGCAACACAAAGCAAACTCGCTGAAGCTCGAAACTGGGATCGCGACTCCGGAGCTTGCGATAAGAAAGCACCATCCTCTGGCGAATGACCTACAAGCTCAAGACTCAACTGCTGCTTCACGAACAACGTCTATCAAAGAATGGCGAACATCCAAACAATACACATACTATATATAAATACATCAACTGCACTGCGAAACCAGCATCAGTTGGGGGGGCCCTAACACAACTAATGAAGGCCCTTCTTTACGACTTACACGCTAAGGTTCCAGCACATTTTTTCCACAGTCCACCCGCTCCCCCAGACGTACGTTTTCCACAATTTTTTTCTTGAAAAGCAATGTTTTCCACACCATTTTGCTCTTGAAAAGCAAGGTTTTCCACACCATTTTGCCCTTGAAAAGCAATGTTTTCCACACCGTTTTGCCCTTGAAAAGCAATGTTTTCCACACCGTTTTGCCCTTGAAAAGCAGTGTTTTCCACACCGTTTTGTCCTTGAAAAGCAAGGTTTTTCACACCATTTTGCCCTTGAAAAGCAATGTTTTCCACACCATTTTGCCCTTGAAAAGCAATGTTTTCCACACCGTTTTGCGCTTGAAAAGCAATGTTTTCCACACCGTTTTGCCCTTGAAAAGCACTGTTTTCCACACCGTTTTGCCCTTGAAAAGCAATGTTTTCCACAACGTTTGCCATTCAAAAGCAATGTTTTCCACACCATTTTGCCCTTGAAAAGCAAGGTTTTCCACACCGTTTTGCCCTTGAAAAAGCAATGTCACACCATCTTCCCTTTCAAACACCAAGTTTTCCACACTATTTTTCTTTTCAAAAGCAATGCTTTCCACATCATTTTCCGTTCAAAAACCATGTTTTCCACATCATTTTGCCTTCCAAAAGCAATGTTTTCCACACTTGCGGAAACTTTTGCGGAAACTTGTGCGGAAACTTTTGCGGAAACTTTTGCGGAAACTTTTGCGGAAACTTGTGCGGAAACTTTTGCGGAAACTTTTGCGGAAACTTTTGCGGAAACTTTTGCGGAAACTTGCGCGGAACCTTTGGCGGAAACTTTTGTGGAAACTTTTGCGGAAACTTTTGCGGAAACTTTTGCGGAAACTTTTGCGGAAACTTTTGCGGAAACTTTTGCGGAAACTTTTGCGGAAACTTTTGCGGAAACTTGTGCGGAAACTTTTGCGGAAACTTTTGCGGAAACATTGCGGAAACTTTGCGGAAACATGGTTGGAACAGTGTGGAAACCTATGAAATTAGTTGTTGATTTTCAGTCAACTCTTTACGGAGCCATTTTTTCCACATGTTTTCCACAGTCAAAGGGCTTAATTTTCCACAATCGAAAGCTTATTTTTCCACAATTAAGAGCCCGATTTTCCAAGAGCCCGATTGTCCACAATTAAGAGCCCGATTTTCCACAATTACTGTAAGAGCCCGATTTTCCACAATCAAGAGCCCGATTTTCCACAAGTAAGAACCTAATTTTCAACAAGGAAGAGCTTGGTTTTCCACAATGGAGAATTTGATTTTCCACAATGAAAGCCTAATTACACAATGTAGGTTTACTTTTTCCAGTATGGTTTCCAGTTGTTTCTTAAAATTCAATTTGTCCACAAGCTACGGAAGTTCTGCTGTTTCTACACGCTTCAACGGTTTTCCAATCCCAAAATCAGATCATTGTTTGTCCATTCCCAGTGGCCAATGGCGCTTTTGTGGAAACTTGACCCTTTAAGTACGAAAACAATCTCTTTTTAAAATTGAAAAATCGACACAAAAAGTGGAAAATGAACCCTCGTAACGTGGAAAATGGACCCCTTAAAGTGTGAAAACAAGCGCTTTTAAATGTGAAAAATCGGCCCTGGAAATGTGAAAATGAATCCTGGAATTAATCTTTGAAATGTGGAAAATGCGGCCTCGGAAATGTGCAAAATGAACCCGGGAATTGTGGAAAATGAACCTTTGAAATGTGGAAAATGGACCCCTTAAAGTGTGGAAAAATCGCTTTTTAAACGTGGAAACTGGGCCTTGGAAATGTGGAAAATGAACCTTTGAAATGTGGAAAATGGACCCCTTAAAGTGTGGAAAAATTGCCTTTAAAACGTGGAAACTCGGCCTTGGAAATGTGGAAAATGAACTTTTGAAATGTGGAAAATGAACCTTTGAAATGTGGAAAATGGACCCCTTAAAGTGTGGAAAAATCGTTTTTTAAACGTGGAAACTCGGCCTTGGAAATGTGGAAAATGAACCTTTGAAATGTGGAAAATGGACCCCTTAAAGTGTGGGAAAATTGCCTTTTAAACGTGGAAACTCGGCCTTGGAAATGTGGAAAATGAACCCTTGAAATGTGGAAAAAACGTCGCGAAACACGTTTTAGGAGCTGTAAAGAATAGTTGTCCAGAGGCCCCCCCAAAGCATCAGGTCAGTTTCATTGTCAACACGACACAGCAAGTCGATCATCAGTCAACTTCACAGCGAAGTGCATCCAGCTTCTAAAGACCAAACACCAGCTGCATGTATGCTTTGAGGATCACAGTTGGGATGCCGCTCTTTTGGAAGGCTTTCTCCATGTTATCTCCAGATCGCAGATCTTGGCCTCCACGAGCCTATACGAGCGAAGTGCGTCCAACGACATGGCGGCACACTTGTAAAGAGAGAGGCTATGTCTCAAATTTCCAATGACTACATGTTGGAGAACATCATCGGGCAGTTTCAAATCTTGAGATCTCATGGACAGTCCCTTCAGAAATCTCGAGAAATGCAACAACCGTTGGGGGTGTCTTGTCAAGCATGCCTACACTATTTGCTCATGCTGCATGGTATTTTGTTTCCCCATGCGTGACTCTTGTCTTCTCCATTTCCTGCCATCTGAGCCCAGGAATGTTTGATTCACATCTATGGAGCAAAGAGGTCAACAAGGTCTGCACGTGAAACAATGAATTCCCATGGAGCAACACAAAGCATACTCGCTGAAGCTCGAAGCTGGGATCGCGACTCCGGAGCTTGCGATAAGAAAGCACCATCCTCTGGCGAATGACCTACAAGCTCAAGACTCAACTGCTGCTTCACGAACAACGTCTATCAAAGAATGGCGAACATCCAAACAATACACATGCTATATATAAATACATCAACTGCACTGCGAAACCAGCATCAGGTCAGTTTCATTGTCAACACGACACAGCAAGTCGATCATCAGTCAACTTCACAGCGAAGTGCATTTCTCTTTTTCATCAAGGTAAATGCTGCGTGCAGAGATCCAGAGATGACAGTCAACGAACGTGCCGGCTCCAGTGTTGGTCTAATGTCAGTTTTTACGGGATGCCTTTGAAGTCAGGTAGATGTTTTACATGTTCTAACTCTAACTTCATGACGCAACGCCTGCTCCCCGCTCGGACAGTCCCTACTGCGAGAAACATACGTCAGGTCATGTTTTACATCTTCTAACTCTAATTTCATGATACAATGCCTGCTCCCCGCTCGGACAGTCCCTACCGCGAGAAACATACGTTGGGTCATGTTTTACATCTTCTAACTCTAATTTCATGACGCAACGCCTGCTCCCCGCTCGGACAGTCCCTACCGCGAGAAACATACGTCAGGTCGCAGTGCAGTATACCGTCGAAATAAGATGACCATGTCGAACAAAGACATCCGGTAAATCTAAACAACGCTACATGGCAGCTGACGAAGCTCCCCGCCAGCAATGCTAAGCAAAAAGATCAGCAGACATTTCATCTGCAGACAAATGCTGTGACACCCAAGGGATGCACTGCCATGAAAGTCTATGCACATACTTCAAGGCCTTCCGCTCGTCCACGCAGGCCTGACCTTCAAACTCCCGCATCCGCTGCACCAAAAGAGGATTGTGTTCGTGCAGAAACTTTTCGAACACATTGCGAGGCGGCAAATCCACTATCCACAGATCTTCCAGCTTGGTTGGCCTTGACAACATCACGTACATAGCCAAGCCATAGTCCGCTTGACTCATCCAGGACGGTTTGGACATGAAAGCAAGCAGCCCTTGTCTGGCAGTGATGCCCTGCAAACCGTAGTGCGTGAGAACGTGACGAGGTGCCAGTGGCAACTGTTTGCGATGAACATGCATAAATTGATTGCCCCCAAGAGGAAGATCCCAGGCCTGATCACATGTAACGGGACGCAGCCAAACGTGTCCCTTCGGAGCACTGCCATCTGGCAATTCAATGGCACGATATTCCGGGTCATCGATCTCGACCAAGACGGCCAACGGCTGATATTGCAAAACGACACGTCCACTGCTGTTTGAAATTACAGGTTCCTTCAGGTGCAACTTAATGGAGCGAACAATGACCGGCAACTCTCGACTCAGCATCGGCATGTCCAAAATGCAACTAACACGTGCTGCCATCCCTTCATACAAAGGGCAAATGCCCATGAGATACTGCGTTCTTGTCATGTTCACAACCTGCAATGCCTTCAGGCTCTGCTCCCTTGTCAAATCTGTGGGCCCCGATGCACGATCAATAGCTTGCACCAAGAAAAGAGTCGTGGACCTCTGTTGAGCTTCCCAAGCCACCCGCAAATGCTGTAAACGAGCAACCTGTTCCCACGCCAGGCCGCCCCAGTGAGCACTCAACAACCTTGAGCGCAAGGAATTGTCAGAAAAAAGTTGCTCTCGGCTGATCACTCGAGATTCCAAAGCTTCCCACAATGCATCCTCCAGATGTTCGCCTCGCCGCATGGACAAAAGAATCCTCACAAGCTGCTGTCCGGATGCACACTTCGAAAAACGACCGGATCCAGTGAAGTGCACAACTCGCTGGAGCGATTGCTTGAACGCGATCCGTCCAAGTTCTGAGGCATTGCTGGTGCGTTCAGCCGCCTCCTTCTCCACGGCCTCTTCGGCATCGCTTTGGTCTTCCTTCTCTTGAGGCGGTGCAGGATCAGTAGCTCGTGGCGCATCCACCCATTCGCACAAGGATGCTTGCGCAGTGGGTCGCAATTGTAGAAAGTCAGCAACTTGCACACCAATGGGCACCTTCCCAAACCACTGCTTCAAGTAGTCGCCCATGTCAAGCATAAGTCGAGCTTGTCGAACAGTGGCAAATCGAAGCGAAGCAGCATGGTACACATCCGAAGGAACCATCGACAACTCGTCCAACAGCATAGCCATGATGCCTTCGATCTTCTTTTCGATCGGGCTGCCCTTGCTCTTCGCCGAACGCAAGGAGCGGCGATCCAAGCTGCTGCTCTTGTGCACATTGGCCCACTTGTGCAAAGTTTTGGCCTCAGGCCCCAGGAGGCGAACAGCAGCGTGAGTCGGAGCACCAGCAACATAACCATCCTGTCCAAAGAAGCGTCGAAAGAGTGGCCTCAATACTTTGCTGTATGCATACGTCTTTCCAGATCCACCAGCTCCGAGCCAAAGACAATTGCACCTTTCATTGCACGCACCATCCGCAATGCAATTGTCCGGATTGCTTCGGTTAAGCCACATCTGTTCCATGACCCAAGCAATGGGTGCAATGGCCAAAATCTGTTGGCGATTCAGACTGTGCTCCACAAGCAAGGCAGAAGCATAATCACTCGGACCCACATTCCTCTGGTTCAGCTCCACCAAAAAGGCATCTTCCGTCTCTGGCAAAGGCCGAAAAACATGATCTCCCATCATCTCAGTATCCTCTTCACCACCTGCTGCATGAAGACCCACCAACGAGAACACAACAAGCAAACGAAATTCCCCCCCCGAAAAAAAAAAACGACAGAACTGACATATTCAGCAAATCAGCTATATGTTACAACGACAAAAAAGAAAAACAAAACAAAACTCATCCACAACCACAAATTAATTCAAAAAAAAAAACAAAGAAAAGAATCAGTAAAGCTCCGCCTCCAACGCAAAATTCCAAATATTGCTTCTGCAGCATCAAAGACCTCTGGGCTTCGGCGAACGTCCAATTACGCTCCAATCCACTGGCTGCGTTGCCTTTGATTCCCAAATCAATCCTCGCATCCGGAACACCTCCCAAACCATTCACAAAGTCACGCAAACGCTGCAACGCATCCTGCAGCACCGCAGCTACATGATTGTTTGTCGGTAACATATGTTCTCGTCAACAAGGCCATATCACAAAAGCTCGGTACCACATACTGGTGACCATGGAACGTATCATATCCTTTTAGTAGACATTTTCCACACGGATGACTACTTACAGCTTGCTAGCATGATGCAGCAAACAACGCATGTTGCAACACAAGGCATATCATGCTTTATTCGGCACATCTCACACCCGCTGAAAGATGAATCATCAACAACGTTACACAACAACAGCTTAGTACCATGATGCTGCGAAAAACATATATCATCTCCTTTTATCAGGGAAATTCCCACGGACATCGCCCAAAAAGCTCGATACCATGTCCTGCAATACAGATGGCTTTCGATTGCCCAACACCTTCATCCAATCCTCTTCCCGAAACATAGCTTCGTGCAATGCTTCTCCATCCACCGGCCACTGCGCACGTTCCAAGTTGTCCAACTCTTCTTGCAATAGCAGATCATCCTCGACCTCGTGTCCTTCTATAACCGGCGGTGCCGAGTCATCTTCCAGGTCCTCCTCCTTGTCCAAAGCAGTCATCAGAGCATAACGCTCAGCTGTCCGACGACTGCTGCTGAGACGACGTGCAGCACAGTGCTGCTGGAAACGCTCCAACCACGATGTCTGAATATAGGCCAAGAACTCTTGCGATGTCAACTGAGTGTAATGAAACGGAACGGACAAGTCTGCGAACCAGGCAACGCGCTCACAGATGCGCAGCATGTCATGATAGCGACAATCCGCTCCTTCTGCTCCACCGAACAGCTTCTCCAAACATCTAAAAGCACTGCTGGTGTCACCAATGCCAGCAACATAGGAACGCACTGATGCAACATCCCGGATGACCGGAGCAGACAAACCGGCCAAAACTCTTTCCTCCGCCAAACACCTCCTCATTGACATGTAACTTTTCCAGTGCTTCCAATGCAGCGTAAAACGAGCAAAAAGAACGCCTTGCTTTGCATCTTCTTCCATGGTGTGGCAAGCAAAGCATCGATGTGACAAACTGCAATCTCCAGAACACGTTGGGAATGGAAAAGATAATCCCAACATGTGAGCTGCGTACTTCTGCACCTCAGCATCCTTCGGAAGGTGCAAATCTGAAGGCACCACAACACTGTCATCTGCTGCTCTCACTTCCTGCGAATTTGATTTCAGCTCAACACAGAAATAAACAACTTCACCCGAACTTGTTAACACTTTCCAAATATCAAACTTAAAGACACCAAACAAAGTAAGAAAAAAAAACAAAACCACCCACCGCAAGCAATCCTGAACGGAGGAACTGAAGTGGGCATAGTGCTCATCAAAGTCGAAAAACTTCACTCCATCCACCTTGCCGGCTTTGTTCCTCGAAACTCTGCGAACGAAGCGAGAATACATCAAAAGAGACATGCATTGCAACAAAACCGAAGAGCCCCTGTGCAAGTAATCGTCTTTCTGGTTGAAGTTCACATGCACCTGCTGGACTCTGGGCACATCACCTCCCTCATCAACAACCTCCGCAAACTCATCCACCACCACTGGTGCCTCTCCTTCGGGGTCAGGAAGCACATCCAAGGGCGAGCCATTGAGATGCGGCCTAGCTTGCAAAACCTCCTCCATGTCCTCATGTCTGCAACGCATGATTGCATACGGCACATAGCGGAAGAACATGTTGTAGCCACGATACGTCACCAGTTGCTCCTGCTCGAATAACAACTGATACGCCATTTCACCGTTGGATTTGGCCACACAACGATTCATTCCAAAGGCAAGTCTTCTCAAAATCGTCAATGCACGCCTCTGTTGCCCTGTCATAGTAGGGTCCCTGTCCCCCTCAGGGGGCTCCTGCTCGGAGCCCGCTGCAGCTTCCTTTGCCCTTTCCCTTTCCTCCTCTTCCAATCGCTGCACTCCTTCAATGTTGCCGTTTACTGAGAACAAAATTAAGGCACACACCAATAAATAATCTATACCATCTCATTTCATTGTAGGAATTCCCATACAAATCCTCAAAAAAGGAGTCGGTATCGTGATGTTCCAAATCAGATATGTTACATTACTTTACTAAGGACATTTGCACAAAATACTGCAAAACAAAGTCGGTAAGAAAAAATATCGTCAACATTTTCCGTTTCGACCGCCCCAAAGCAAGCAGTCCTGCATACAATTCAGGTAACATACTCCGCGAAATTTCAAACTTCTTTGCAGCATACTCACCAGTGTAAAAACCAACATTCATCATATCTCTTGCAAGGTCCACCAGAATGCGATCAAGCGCCTTTCTCATCGTCTGCATCTTCTTATGCTCCGTGTCCAAAACACGACCCATGCATTGCTTCTTCGGCGGCGGATCCGAAGCATCCAACTCAGTCGACACAGGTTGCTCTGCATGTGAGGCATCAGCACCCGATATAGCATCCGAAGACGAACCAAGCGCCGGGCGTTGAAGTTCCATCTCCTGCAATCCACTCCCGGACAGTTCCAACAGAGAAGATGCAGAAGCAGGAGGAACTTCGACTCCAGGCTCCTGGTCTATGCTCCCATCACAAAACTTCAAAAGGTCTGCTTCTGAAAAATTGCGTCCAATGTACTTGACATCCACATTGCATCGCATCACTGCTTGCGCCACCGGGTTCGACATCCCTTCAAAAGGGTGATCACGCCGAGCTTGAAACACATGCGGGTTTTCGTTTTTGAACTCTTCAACCTCCTTCAAATCTACTGTCTCATATTGCAACCGAGAAAAACCTGCTTTCGCAACTCGAGGCCAACCTTTCCGACATAACACTTTCGGCTTGTCCTCCTTGCCCAGAATCATTTCAACGTGAAAGCAACCAAAGCGACACCCACGTTTGCCTTTCACGGCTTTCCTCAGCCAAAGCAACATGTCGTGTTTACATATACATACTTCTTCACGTTGACAGCCAACTATGCACGTTGTACACTCCAGACGTCTCTTTTCCATTCTACACAAAAATGTTTTACGCAAACTGATACCGTAACAGCAACCGTGCAACATGTAAACGAACAACAAAAGCCATGACCAAGCCGAAACCGCACGTAACTCAAAAATAACGACAACAAACAACCACACCCACAACCACAACCACAACCAAAACAACAACCACGACAACAACAACAACAACAACAACAACATCAACAACAACAACCACCACAACTTTGCCAAGCTCATTGCGAGGAACTTTTTGAAACATGATTTCGTGCATTTGTGAAAATGATTCTGGATCACCAAACGTCTGTAATCCTCACAGAATTTTTTCTTCCACTCGAGACCATCTCCCGCAGAACGTTCACTGCGTCGCAGATACTTGGGTCGCAAAGAAGCATAGCATCCGGTCAATGTCAAAACCTTGCCAGCCACGGATCCGCCCAACTTCAAGGCTTCCAATTCGTGTCCATCCGGCTCCGTAGGCACCAAAGGCGCGGATTCATACTGGTGACCACATTCTGATCGCTGACGTTCATTCAGAGGCAGTGGCTCTGTCGGACTGCTCAACTGCTCCGACAAGGCCAATTGAGAATCATACTGAAAACGCTGCACAGCCTCCAAAACACGACGACTCCACCGCTGCAACTCAACGACCAACTCACCATGCTGCACTCGATGAATCAGTTTCCGCAAGCGATCTCCCAGGTCGTGTCCCAGCAAGATAATAAGCATGTGGGGGTGCAAAGAACCACGACCCTGGGTCTCCAACGGGCCGTTCAACGCCACAATATCACCGAAAACACCTCCTTGCAGGGAACTCGCAATGCCATCTTCGAAGGTTGCTGCCACGCCAACACGAAAACTTCCCTTGGTCAAAGGTGGAAGAATGCCCAACACCTCCTCACAGAACAAATCCATCATCAAGGCAAAGCAACGCGCTTGAGCGACGGGATCGCTCGCGACAATCCGTCGCATAGCAGCTGCGCTGGGCAATTCGGGCATCTCCGCCTCCCAGTCCAAATCAATTTTGCACTCTTCCACTTTGACATTCTGCAGGTGCAATTGAAGTAGCAAGGACGAGCGCATATCTGCGATGTTGGGCGTGACGAACAAATGCGCAGAACCATAATGCCACCCAGCCGCATGTCCACGCAACCGGATCTGGCTGCGGTGCCCTTCCATGCCAATGATGCTCGAAGTTGCCTGAAGCACTCCTCCCAATGCTCGCTTCAAGGCCACATCCACCTGCGGATCTCGCAGCAACTCCCTGAGGTCCGCATTGTCTCCATGCAATGCCATTGCCTTGAGCAATTGGTCCGTGTTGACTTCAGAAATAACACGACAATGTTTGCCAAAGCCACGACGCATCACATGCGCTTTCGTCGCACGCATCAACTGCAATCGACGCTGCACGTCGTACATCACTGGAAGCAACGTCTCCTGCCCGCATACTTGGAACAAAGGCGACAAAACTCAAAAACTGAAACCACCAAAACACAACCACCAAACCATCCTGGGAAAACAGAAAACTCAGCAACAATTGAATAAACCAAATCCAAAGCACTGAAAGCGACCATCTTGGCAACAAGGCATCACCCTCACTGTAATGCAGTTCTTCCCGAAGCAACAAATATCGAAACACTTCTGTTGCATCCATGTTGGCTTCACGCTTCAAAAAAGGCAAGCCATCACCCCATGGAAACAAATCCGGAAACGACATGCCCCAGGTGGCCGGATCAAACATCGACAGCGGTTCGTCTCTGGTCGGAACAACCAACTTGGAAGGTTTGACTTGGAACATAGCTGATTCCACATTCCGCTCATTTTCAGCCGTGCCACGGGCAATCTTCTGAATTCTCCGAATTTTTTGAAGTGTTCGCCTCTCTTGGGCTCCTTCACGACCCAAAAGTTCACCAGGAACAGATGCATCCGGGGCCGGCATTTCATTGTTGATGCGGTTGCGAAGCACATCGGCAGCATCGCTCCTTCGCCGCCCACCCTGTCTCACACAGACCTCCTCCACATCCTTCAACACACGCACCCACTTGTTCTGTTCATCCGCACCATCGTTCAAGCCAACAATGGAACACATCAAATGACCTGCAATGTTTGCGTGAATTTTCCATATTTACTTTCACACACACAAAACAAAATGGTTCCGAAACGCAGACGTTACAAAGCAAAACTCGATATTAACATCGTTTTCAATCGCTTCATTCGGACAGTCCCTACCATGAAGCAATCAATACAACCAAATTCACTTCGGAACCCTGCCTGGTGCATCTAGGCCTTCACGCTGCTTCATTCGGACAGTCCCTACCATGAAGCAATCACCTGCAATGTGTGCGTGAGTTTTCCATATTTACTTTCACCCACACAAAACAAAATGGTTCCGAAACGCAGACGTTACAAAGCAAAACTCGATATTAACATCGTTTTCGATCGCTTCATTCGGACAGTCCCTACCATGAAGCAATCAATAAAACCAAATTCAATTCAGAACCCTGCCTGGTGCATCTAGGCCTTCACGCTTTTCTTCACTCGCACCGTCCATCTTCTCATCATCCGACGCATCTTGTCCCTGTGCGTCTGCAGGACCTCGCTGCAGCAACTCCTGCGCCAATGCAGAATCCTCCGCAGTTTCCAGGACACAGCCCTCCAAAAGATCATCACTGCCATCTCCCAGTTCCACCTCCGCATAGAAAGGATTCGTTTTCCTCAAACATTCAACAGCGGCAGTGTACTCATCTCTCGGGGCACGCAACAAAGAAGAGCCCTTGACTGCATCCTTCTGGCTTCCAACCAAAACAAACAAAACTGCATCTTGCATATCAACATCTTTTGGAGGGAGCGTGGTCAGCACTGAAGACGGCTTTGCTTGCGGGAGAAAAATCGAATTCCCTACAAAGCCATGCTGACGTTCCTCACGCGACAAATGCCCGGGCTGCAATACCACAACCTGCATGCACGCCCGTGTCATCGGCAAAAGTCGCTTCGTGGCCGAGGCCAGGCCACGCAATGCGGACAGTTGCTCGCCCATCCAAAGGTCATTGGCCAAGCTGTGCCGAGGCAACGTCAGACTAGATGACATCAACGAGCCCTTGCAGTCACTGCACACCAGGCAAGGATCCTGCAATTGCAGTGACATCCGAACATATTACTAGAACTTCGCCCAAACAAAGTCGAGTAATCCGATGCCGTGAACAGAAAATTAGCTACAAACAAGTTGGTATACCGTGATCCCTCAATGAAAGCAACAAACCCGTGCAGTCAGTGGTAAGGGTCCTTCAAGTCCACCGGCATCCGACGCTTGTGTAAGAGCAAATGCTCCCCCTTGCAGTATGGATGTTCAACAGCCGAAGCATGCAGAGCCTCCAAAGGGATCTTCGGCCATCTTCGACTGTATCTTTCAACTCCAAGAATTCGACACAAGCGTTCCTGTTGACCACACGGAATCACATCCACCGCACCGTTCTCCAACTCGGTGCTGCCAGCCGGATCTTGGAATAAGATTAACATCTTCAGCTGCTCCCGCCAAAACCTGCGAGCACACACCACGCATGCAGTTTCAAAGCGACCTCCTTGCTCGGGCTGTCGAAGCCTTTCATCAGCATTCTCCATGAGGCGACGTTGCGAAGCAAAGCTGGTGACCTGATGCATCACTTCATGAAAACATCATCAGCAAATCTCAGTACCATGATATCTCACATCAAACATGTAACACTACCCTACTCCGATCGTGTTAACAGAAATACAACACAAAAAGCTCAGTACCCCGACGCCGTGAATTAAAACTATTATCTCACTTTATGATACAAATTCCACACAAATAGCTGCAAAAAGCTCAGTACCCCGATCCCACAAAAGGTCAGCGCAGACAAGAAACTGTGGGGCCCAAGTGTGTCAATAGTCCAATGACCTTCTTACGATACTCGATGAGCACACGGCTGGCATCGGCACCTCCACTGTGTTTCTCCACTAAATGTTCCAAAAACTCTTTCTGTCCGCCAGTTCCAAAATTGCACAGTCTGCACTGGTAACGCTCCAGCGGATTCTGAACATCATCATCATCATAAGACCATAACACAAGGCGAGACAGCGCTTCACCAATAGCAGTGATAGCTGGACTGCAGTCCAACATCTGCGCAACTTCACGCAGCTTGATCTCAAACTTCATATTCACATTTTCCAACACAGCAAATGCTTTCTTGGCAACTTGCAAATTCTCTGGCAAGGCCTCCATAGCAATGCCCGCAGCAACATCCATCTCCACATCTGCCTCCTCAGCAGCTTCCACACATGAAGAGCCAGTGCTGTCAGGAACAACTGCATTACCATCCCCTTCCACATCCACCTCCGGAACACATTCCACAACAGAAGTGCCAGCGCCGAAAAGGATGGCACTCAATGGCACAAAAGCGGCCTTGCAAAGAGTTCCTTCAGTCCACCCAGGAATCGACTGCATCAAGTTCCGTTCCGTGTCGGATCTCCATTTGATACCATTCTCTGCATCATCCGAAGCTTCCAAACAATCCAACTTCAACTCCTTGATGTTGTCCACATCGCCAGGGAATGCAGCTTTCATGGAACGACAGCGCACCTTCTTCTCCTTCTCCAAATACTCCGACACCCGCTTGAACAGCACACCGTCTTCATCTGAAGTCGGCAACCGCAAGCACTGCTGCACTTCCTGCCATTGTCGTATATCCAGTTCCAATTGAACGACAACCGGAGACACGCCGCTCCTGTACACACGATGTCATAATCAGTATGCAATTCCTCGAGATCTCACGGACAGCCCCTACAGAAACCTCGAGAAGATATCTCTGATGATCTCGAGATATATTGGCTACCATGATCACGCGCATGATGTATAAATAACATACGTTATCTCATTCATCGCGCAAACAAAAAAAAGCTCGGTACCATTATGCTTTACATGAGCAATTCTGGAGATCTCACGGACAGCCCCTACAGAGACCTCAAGAGATGCAACAAATGTTGAAGATATTTGTTTGTCGATCCTTGGTATTTCACAAACATGATGCCATCTATGACATATGTCATGTCATTTTATTATGGACATTTCCCCATAAATGGGACAAAACAACTCGGTACCATGATGCCGTGTATAACACATGATAATTCATTTTAGCATGCAAATACCCACATAAATTGCCAAAAAAAACTCGGTACCATGATGTTGTTATTCGCAAAGGTGACAAAGGTAAGAAAAGTACACAAAACACACAACAACGACACGCACTCGTCCTGGAATCACGGAGTTCTCCGACCGTCACTGGATCGTGACGTGAGCGCATAGCTTGCAATGCAGGCGTCTGGCGAGGATGAAGTAACTGCGTCAGCAAAAGCCAAGCAAACTGTAAACACTTCTTGTTCCCATAGCGAGCAGATGGAAAACATTCGGACCAATAGCACACCTCCACGTCCTGGTCAAATCTTTCCCAACCATATCTCCGCATCAGGCATCGCAGGTACGTCGCGTCTGCAGCATCCAACTTACCTCGACGCCGGCGCACCTCGCCCTCATCATCCACCACCAACGCTTTCGTGCCCCACAGGATGCCAAGGACCACCTGCAAGCAACGCAAAGACCAAACCACCGCGAACCGGCAAGACACAAAAAAAAAACTAACGCAGGCCATACAATAGTTTCGACAACCACTCACCTCCACCACATTGTCACGATCCTCATAACCACCAGAACTGTCCCATTCACAAGCAGCTGTAAGTGTGTGGACATCCCACAAACGGCTCGCCACTTCCAACATGTCCGCGTCGATGGTGAACCCCACCAAACGACACCATTGAAGTCGTCTTTCTTCCGATACACTCAGCAAAACACAGGACAACAATGCCACGACCTGATGCCGCAGCAAATGCTCCATGCCAATGGAGGCGAAGTAACCTGGTAAATCCAATAAATCAACAGAATCCGTGACAGCTTTGCTGGGCCACGATTGCTGCACTTCATCGAAAGTAGCAAGAAGCGGCAACGTCGCATCCACCACACGAGCATCCAAAGAAGCAAGCGAAAGATGCAATCCCTCCACCTGACCCATGGTCTTGTCGGCCAAAACTGCCAAAATACGCATGCGATCTTTTTGTTCTGGAACAGCATCTCGAAGCAATGTAGTATCAGGCGCCGCAGGACTTTCCAAACATCGTTTCAGCCAGCCCCACAAGACACTTGCACCAGATGCAAGGGTATCATCGTGACACGGCTCCTGCTAAAAATAAAAATAAAAAAAAACAGCCGCACTTGACGTTTTTGCAATGCCGACAATCTACAATTGCCGGCATAATCACTATTCAATTCTCGAGATCTCACAAACAGCTCCTATAAAAACTTCAAGATGCCTTTTTTTATTGCACCCAACCTCCGTGGAAGTCGCCAAGACTTTCATCAACGATCTGCGCAGCTCTGCTACAGGCAACCAATTCCGGTTGGAATGTGTCTCCACACCACCCGCAGTGGCCAGGACTCGAAGCTCCTCTGCAGGTATTTTGTACAAAGCACGATGGAGCCACTCCTCACCCTCTGAAACAGCTCCAAGGTGAAGTTCTTCCAATTTGGCAGCCGATGCTTCGTCCACCTACAGCATGGAACACACCGCCACCACAAAACAACCATCATCCTACATTTTTTTCCCGCTCCTCATGCATATCAATGAAATAATAACACATAGATCCACTACATCACAAACGAAAATTGGCATGATCACTATGCAATTCTCGAGATCTCACGGACAGCCCCTACAGAGACCTAAAGAGATGCAACAAATGTTGAAGATATTTGTTTGTCGATCCCTGGTATGTCACAAACATGACGCCATGTCTGACAAACATGCAAATTCGGTCACAAAAACAACTCATGTCACAACACATTTTTTGGTTGAACCCAACCTCCGTGGAGGGTTCCAAGACTTTCATCAACGAGTTGCGCAGCTCTCCTACAGGCAGCCAAATCCCGTCAGACTTTGTCTTCGCACCACCCGCAGCAGCCAGAACTCGAAGCTGACGAGCTGACATTTCCGACAAAGAACGACTCAGCCACTCCTTGCCCTGTGAAACAGCTCCAAGGCGAAGTTCTTCCAATTTGGCAGCCGATGCCTCTTCCACCTGCGGCATCCGACACACTGCCACCACAAAACCACCATCATCCTACAACATCGCACCATGTGACAAACATTCAAATTCGGTCACAAAAACAACTCATGTCACAACACATTTTTTGGTTGAACCCAACCTCCGTGGAGGGTTCCAAGACTTTCATCAACGAGTTGCGCAGTTCTGCTACAG